GAAATGCCTTTAAGGAAAAAAAAAAAAGCCACCACACAACACCGTCGTTTGTCCTTCAGACTGTGCAGGGGCACTGTGGAGCGGGATCCTGTGTGAGGGGTCTTCTGCGGTGGGGGCCGCCTGCCTCTCGGCCGCCAGGCCCCAGGCCTGCCAGGGGATGCTTCAAGAAGAGGCAGCAGTGCCTGTGGGAAGGAGCGCGGGGACGCGTCGCTGCGGGGGGAGATGAGGTGGCGAGCGGTTAGGCTTTCAGAAAGAAGACGAGCCCGCTTCTTGGAAATGGCTCCGCCGGCGGGGGTTCACCACTGCCGCGGCTCCCCCCCACCCCGCACGGCTGAGCCCTCTCAGAGGAAGTGGGGGGCTGCTGGCTGTTTGCTTCTCAGGGCTAGGTATTAGCTTTCTTCTCGGCTTTTATGTTGGGTGCTACTTAGTTCTGTTAATACAGGTCTCACTGCCCTCATGGAAGTGGTACTTCTGCTGTGTGTACTTTTCATGTGAAGTCAGTGGGGAGTGGAAACCTGTTTCTTTCGGTTTACTTTCTAGGTAGATGCACTTGATCTTGATGTAGCAGACTGGATTTCTTAACAAAGTGCACTCTGAAACAGACTATACCTGCACAACTGTATACCCACTTAAACAGATGAATGACTATCAAATATATAGTAACACTGCAGATCGTTTATTATGTAGACCAATTCATATTTTTCTACTGACAATGGCTTTGTGTTTGCCATTTTTAGAAAAATAAAATGGAACAGCAGTACAGTGCTTAGTTAATCGTATCCCGTATGCTTCAGAAGAGTGACATTTAATTTCTGGGACTCATTGTGAAGTAGCTTAAAGCTACTTGTTTGCTTGACAGTGAAGTAAATTAATGCCTGCTTCAGCTTGTGGCAGAGAAATGTTTTTTGCTCCAGGTCTACATGAACTTGAAGACACCTTTGTCAAAACACAGCTCATAGAAATGCACAGCTATACATTAATCAGTAGGTTAGAGAGCCATTGCAATCAAAACAATGAATCAAAATATACTTTTTGAAAACCCTATTTTTCCATCCTCTTTACCTTTCCCCTCCCTCATTAAGGACTCTTTCTGACAGGTTCGTGTCAGTGCTTCACACATGCCTAACATAGGCTAAAATGAGCTTTCTTACCATCATGGATATTCTTCATCAGCTTCCTTAATTTGAAAAATTACATAGCCTGGGTGTAATTCTGCATTTGGCAGCTTAATTCTCTTGCAAGTTTCTTGTTTGTGTAGATTTGGAGTAATGCTGTTGGATGGAGTCCTTTGTAAAGTTGAGCTTTCGAAAAATGTAAAAGAGATGATGTAGCTAGATGTAGACTTGACTGAAGTCATTGCCTGGAAAATTTCTAATGTAGAAAAAGTCTTCTTTGACATCAATGAAAACTATAACAATAAGTATACTTTCAAAGTACACCATTCACAGTAATAACATACAGTAATCCATATTTATTCACCAATTTCTTATTGTGAAATAAGATGGAAAAATATATAGTAGGCGCTGCAGAAGTTAAATCTTATTCAACTCTCTTGAAAGATTGTTTTATTTATATGGGACATGATCCAACCGGTTTTCTTTTCAAAAGATTGCCATAAGATTTAGTTGTGTTAAGCTATCTCAATTTGTACTTTTCCGCACAAATTTCAGCTATCTAAATTTGTAGTTTAATAACAGAACTTGGTTTTGTGATGTATTTTGTTGAAATAATGGGACATCAGTAATAGAAGCTGTGGTTCAAAAGATTTGAATTGCTTGGCTGGTGAATTAACCAAATGTGAATTAGCAAGATTTGACTGTATAGACTGATACTAAGAAATTGTACATTTTAAAAGCTCTTTAAACTAAGAGGCCTAAAAGGCTGAGTAAACTCTGACTCAGTTTTACCATACACATTTTATGTGTATTTGCATAAAATCATTTGGGCTGGATCATGACACAATATGAGCTGAGACAATGGTTGAGGTTTTGGTTTTTCCTTAGTTCTGTTTATTCTGTGGCTTGAGCATTTGAAATTTCACAAGACACATAACTAAGACTAACACTAGATTTTCACGGGTAAACACATGTTTGTGGCCAAGAAATAATGCAGTGCTATGCAGATGAGACAATGAGCTGATATATCTAAAAAAGAAAGAAAAAAGCTGAGAATTGGATTTTACCAATATTCTCATAATAGTGTTCTGAAATGTAAAAACATGAAAAAGCTCTCTCTAGTCTTTCTTTTTGGACCATCTTGTGCAGTGTACTGAATCCAGGAAATCAAATACTTCCAAAATGTATTTGACTTACATGTTTATTTTGCTTGTACTTCACGAGGAACATTTTCTCATGACCAGGGAAAATGACATGAAAATTTAGTTAGATGCTCGCAGCAGCTGGAGATACTCATGTAACAGAGGCTCATTCACAGCGCAAGGTGAGAGAGCAAAGTATTTTGTTTAACTTTCACTGGTAAATGCTAAAGCATAGTCTCCAAAATCTTTGCTTTTAAACTTTTCTTTCTGGCCCATTTCCTTAATGTATTTAGATTATAAAGGAGTGGGAAACTGATTGAACAGTGGTACTAGCTGCAAGTTCTCAAATCCAAACTTGAGGGCTGTATCTCTATCTCCCATTACAAAACTTCAATATTCTACCATATTGAAGAATTCATACTTGGATAAATGGGGACCTGATAGTCAGATTTTTATTGTCTTTTCATGCATCTGTAGAACTCTGACTTTCATTAGCGTTTCTTTTTAAACAACCACCTTTAAGACTTCATCTAAAGTTTTGTGAGCATTGTAGAGCAGTGTCTAACAGAAAACAGCTTGCTGGGGGTCAGTAGCACTTTTGGAAGACTCCTTGGAGGTTAAGAAGGATTATGGAGTGCAAAGTTATATTTGATAATATGGAAATTGGTTAAAGTTTGAAAATAAGTACAAGTCTAAAAGTTAGACATTTATTGTAAGAAATGAGTACAGAACGTGGTACTGTAACACTGCATAACTGAGGCAACATTTAGGGAAGGGTGTCTGGAATGTATTGTATCTTTTAAAACCAATCTGAATCTTTTTAACATTGGAAAACAGGTTCCTCTGTAAATTCATTTGGTCTCATCTGCAATGCTGGAGTTCTTTTTTGGCTGCCTGATTTAGGTGAATAGAGTCCAGAGATGCAATGAGAGTGATGAGAGATGCTGAATATGAAGGGGCACAGAAAGATTTGATTTGATTCCAAGGTCAGACACAATGGATGCATACACAGTAGTAACATAGGAAAAATAAGCTAGACAGTCCTCTCTTTAATTCCTCTAGGGCATTTAGTTTACCTAAAATGTTAGAAAGCTTTCTTCAATACGTTTGATTGCATCTTGATGTTTCGTCAGGTATTAAATCTCTAGGACTTCATGCTGAAGGTCTGTGCCTTGCAAGGTAGCAAGCTGCTGCTTGTAGACCATTCTGGTGTTTCATCTGACTCCTCAGAAGTTCTTGTCAAAAGTCCTTGAATTTTTTTCTGTGCATCACTTCTTGCTCACATTTTTGGTCTTGGTTCTTGGTGATGTCTGTTTACAGCCATGGCAGTTCAGTGCATGTTCTTTATAAAGATAAATATGAAGGATTTCTGAGAACACCTTTTCAGACAAGTGGCTAATTTCCATGGTTAAATGTGGTGAAAAGTAGGTATTCTCTGAAAAAGGTAAGAGCAATCTGGTAGGTTAGCTAGTCCCAACATCAGAGCTTCACCATATCAAACTCTAGATCTCTAGAGACTTGCAGTTTGTCATGATGAGCTGTGCAGCTTTAAGTTGCTGAAGCTATCAGTTACAGTGTTTCCATTAAGCCTTCAATCTTTTAACTGTAAGTGCAGAGATGATAGTGTTCTGTCTTCAGCAGATAAGATATAACCCGAGCAAGTGCTTCTGCACAATCTGCTGTTACTGTTCTGGCAGTGTTGTATGACACGTTTGACTGATTGCTGATGGGTGATAACTGTAAGTCTATGCTACGCATGATTTGTCATGCTGGATGCTCAGGCCTTTACAAATTTCATGATCTTTATATTGTAATACCTACTTTTCTTGTCTACTTGTCTGGGATAATAGTCTCTCACTAGTAGAATTACTGATAAAAAATGATAATATCTACTGGCAGTTATTTGCTGTGGTCTGTTGTCTCTAACAATACCAACATAAGAGGCTACATCTGGAATAATGGATCCTGTTCTGAGTTCCTCAGGACCAGAGGCATAGCAACAAACTGGAGAGAGCCCAGCAGAAGACCGCTGTGATAGGCAGGGCCTATAGTGTATTGGAAATGGAGAACTGGATTTTTTGAACCTAACAAAGAACAGACTAAGGTCAGAGAAGCTAATCACTGGTTTTGGTTACCTGAGGGTAGAGCCAGGCTCTTCAGAAGGGTGCAGCAAACCCGAGAGGCACAATCATAAACTGTAGCAAGAACTATAGCTGGACATCAAACCCAGTGTTTTTACACAGTAAAAGTAGTTAAATTGCAGGACAGCTTGCTGAGAGAGGTTGAAAGTCTCCACCAATGAAGATTCCACAAAGCTTGTCTAGACAAGGACTTGACCAACCTGATCTAAGTTACAAGTTGGCCCTGCTTCAAACAGGGGGCTGGGCTAGAGACATCCAGAGATACCTTCCAACCCAGGACATTCTTTATTAGCTGCCTTTTAGCAGCTGTTGGTAAACATTTTGTGCTTCTTTTTTTTTTTTTTTTCTTCCATTTTACAGTAATTTTCAATTCTGGGCACTAGTGGAACATACTGGGAGAGATGCTTTTAGGGTACAGTCTTACAGTTGTTAGAGCTAGTGCTGCCTTCTTGCCCATTCATTCATTCATTCATTCCTATGCTTGTCCCTGTACTGGCTGTGAGACTGGTCTGATACCTGGAGTCGGTTTCATGGTGCAAAACTTTCAGGAAATTAGATCAGCAAAAATTCCTCCCAGATTATTTATTTAGAAGAGGAGACTGAGAACCAGGAGTGAAGTTTATGGTGAAGAAGGTGAAAGCACAGAGGTGCTCGTTTAGATCATCTTAAACAGTTAATGGGGCTGTATGGCACTAGCTGATTTCAGAAGTCATAAGTGTAGTTTTTAGTATTCATAGAGCTGTATTAGCTATATGCAGATTTCCTTTTGTATTCAGCTATGTCATCCCAGGAAGATGTTACTGCCTCCAAGCCATTCTGTAACTCATCTCAACTCATCCACTCAAAGCTGTGGCATCTTCAGGTGAACCATTTCTGACCCATTTCATTCCAAACCTGCAGGGATAACTGAGACAGCTAAATCAGGTCACAGAGGCTGATGCTGGTTTGAATGAATCAGGCAAACACTTCTCATCTGGAGACATCAGAAGGATGGTGATGGAGGAGGCAGCATTTGGTGTTGCCATCTGTGCAACAAATGTTTCTCTGCAGCATGTGCCTGTTGGATGGCTGCCTGGCTGTTGTAAACTTAAATTCACCTCTGTAATCCCAACCTTATGCTTTCAAGTTTGGTTCTTTTTTGGGTTAGGGAGTAGAATTGATGTTTGTGTGAACGAATGATGTAACATATTTGATTCGGTCTGGCTGTTCTGTATTCTGCAAAACTTCCTTTTGATGTTTTGTTTTGTACAGTGCTATGTTAAAGAAAACTGAACACTGGAGATGCACTATCCATAATGCCTTGGCATTCCCTCATTGTGATTATAAATAATGCATTACCTTTTGTAACTCAGATAAAATTGTTCCTTCCACCTTATGTGGAAAGATAGAAGTAAATGCTTTTGATAAGACCAGCTATTACAGTTAGAGAACTTAGACAAGGTCTTGGGTGCACAAACCCTTCTCCAAGCCTGAAGTAAAAGTGGAATAAATACAAGTTGAGAACAATTGCTGAGAGTCTTAGGCCATCTCTGAAAGGCAGTGGTTAATCTCTCTTGAGTGTAAAGCATATGGAGTGTGGGAAGAGAGAGTGAAATGTTTTGGACAATATTTATGCAATTAAACTCTGCAAAGGCCCAATCCTAATCTTTGGAATACCCTTCCAGTTTATCTAACTGATAGAGTTCAGGAGTATTCTAACCTTACAGTTTAAAAGTATACTTGATTCAATCACAAAGACTGATAGCTAAAAATATCTTACAGATATTCTATATTTACCAGGTTTTGTCCCATGAAACAGGTGTTTTGTGATACAGTTTTATCACCTTTTGGTCCTTCTGAATTTGTGCTGTCTTATTTGGTGACTGTTTCACACAGCAATATCTCTTGCCCACTGGCATGGTTTAACTCCAGCCAGCAACTAACTACCGCTCAGCCACTTGCTCACTAAGCACCACCTCCCAGTGGGACAGGGGAGAGAATTGGAAGAATAAAAGTGAGAAAAATTGTGGGTTGAGATAAAGGCAGTTTAACAGGTAAAGCAGAAGTCATGCACACAAGCAAAGCAAAACAAGGAAGTCATTTACCACTTCCCATGTTCAGGCAGGTGTTCAGCCATCCCCAGGAAAGCAGGGCTCCATCACAGATAGCAGTTACTTGGGAAGACAAACATCATCACTCCAGACATCCCCCCTTTCCTTCTTCCCCCAGCTTTACATGCTGAGCATGACACCATATGGTCTGGGATATCCTTCTGGTCAGTTGGGGTCAGCTGTTCCTGGCTGTGTCCTCTCCAGCTCCTTGTGCACCCCCCGCCTGCTCACTGGTGAGGTGCTGTGAGGCGCAGAAAGGCCTTGGCTCTGTGTAAGTGCTGCTCAGCAACAACAAAAACATCCCTGTGTTATCAGCACTGTTTTCAGCACAAATCCAACACACAGCCCCATACCAGCTACTGTGAAGAAAATTAACTCTACACCAGCCAAAACCAGTACACCCACAAAATAATTTCAGTGATAACTAGCTTCCATTCTTCTGTTTCTCCTCTTGAAGATGATGTGCTAGATGTCCTACATACCTTCCCCAAATTCCTCTACTTGGCATTTGTGTGCCATCTTGCAAACTATAGTTTTTGCAGATAGGATGGCCTGCTAAAATAATTGTGATATTACCCTGAGTGGTTGAAAAATGGAATTCAGGATTATTGATTGTACTGTAGGACTGGGATTTATCTTTAATTTTTGGAAGTCTCATATCTAGTCTAATGTAATGAACTAGGCAGCTCCAGAAGATAATTCATTCTTCTATCTCACATGCTTGTTGGATGAAATAAACCTTCATGTGGGGAACTTTTTCTTTCTTTATTGTTCACAATGAAAATTTAGATAATAAACTTAGGTTTCAAACTTTTAGATGATTTAAAGTACTTCCTGTCTTAAATGCTCTTAATGTCTCTTGGACAGACACTTAAAACTATGGTTGTACTTACATTTTTGTTTCAGATGGACCCTACTAGAATTTCAAAAGAACACGCACACTGTGTCAGAACACTTTTTGGACATCTAGAAAATGCAGATTTGCATGATACATCCTTTGAAAATCAAGAAGCAAAGTTAATGCCAGAATCATGTAGAAGTATGGAACAAGCTCTCCAAAGAGTTGTGCAGAAGGTAAGTGGCACACAGACCGTCTTCCTGACTGTTTCTGAAAAGATTCTCTCAAATCAAGATCATTGACAAGCAAAATATTGCCTGAAAAACAGAGGATATAACATCTGCTCTCATTTGCTCTTGTTACTTTTTCTGCAGCTCAAAATGAGGGATAGTATCTCCTATTTTTTTTTTTTTTTTTTGCTCACTTTGCCAGTTCTCTGTTCTGTACGGATCATTCCCACACTGGCAGAAGAGCTACTTTGCCATAGCACAGTAACTGGGCAGTCTTTGCCCAGCAGTGGAAAGTAACAGCTTGTTCCCAAACAAATAATGAAAGAAGTCAGCTAAAGAAGTCAGATGTAATGAAGAAGCCTTCCTAGGCAAGCTGGATATATGTCACAATCACCTCTTACTGCAGTTATTGCCTTTGATCTCTTTGCCTGTTTGTAATAGTGTTTAGTGCTAATTATGGGCTTTTCAGGAGCTGAATGTCTACTATGGTATTTTGTCTTCCTGGTTTACCAGGTCCATTACAACTTCACATCTGCATTTAGTGACACATCTGCATAGGACTGTCAGGTTTTCATAGAGGATGATAGAATCATAGAATCAACTAGGTTGGAAAAGACCTTTAAGATCATCAAATCCAACTGTTAGTGCAGGACTGCCAAGTCCCCCACTAACCTGTGTCACTAAATGCCCCATCTACATGTTTTTTCAACACTTCCAGGGGCAGTGATTCCACCACTTCCCTAGGAATCTTGTTCCAATGCCTGATCACCCTTTCGGTGAAGAAATTTTTCCCAGTAGCCAATCTAAGCCTTCCCTGACACAACTTGAGGCTGTTACCTTGAGCTGAACTCACATGCACTTTGTAGAGTGAATTTTACTTGAGTTAGTTATATAGTACTTTAACTGTGCTAATGCAGTGTTTGCTTTTAACAAAGTACCCTGAGTGACAGATCTTTTTGTGAATAAAACTGAAAGAAATTTAGGAGTTCATGTCTTGTCCCTTTTGCTAGCCACCTCCTTGAAAAACTTAAGCGGGGAGGAAGGGTTAACTCTGTAGGATTAGGGATTAGTTCTTTCCTCTAGCATTTTGTAGAGACTCTCACAGTACACCTAATTCTGCTCCGAGTGCTGCTTGTTCATGAGACTCCTATGACAGAGTAAGGAGCTTGTTACAGTAAGTGGATGGGAAGCCCTGTATTCTGACCATTTGCTGCTGGTTACTCAACAAAAGCATTTGCTTTAGCTGAGGCTGCATATCCTGCCATTCTGGATGGAGGTTAAATGCTGCAATGCCCGTGGCCAAGATAAGTAGTGAGTAGGGATAACTTTTTTTGGCTGATGACCATTATTTTGAGAACAATAAAATTTCCCTTGCCAAAGTAATCAGACTCTAAATTTCCTTTGAATGCAACAGAATGTATTAAGCAGTTGCATCAGTGTTCTGGATGCTTTGTCATCAGACATTGATGACACAGAAGAAAACAAAGATAGGAAGATGCTTGCCTTGGCAACATTTGCATCTTTTCGGTACATAAGGGAACTGAAAGAAACGGTGTGAAAGCAAAATGCAAAGCTATACTTTATAATCTGTTAGCTTTGCCTTTCTTTGGCTCTGCTACAATGAAGGGCAGAGAAGCAGCTGAATCTTCCATTTGTGGTAGTCCTTTATGTGTGGGAATGTAGCTAATGTGACTTGAAAGAGGTTTCCTATCTTCTGTGCTTTCTTCACTTTCCTGAAGGAGAATCTAACCTGCGTGTGTTTTAAGAACCAGTGTCCTTGTTTGAATTGGCAGCTTGTGAAGTGACTGAAATAGAACACTTGAAAATACTGGTTATGTTTTGTGATTTTTCATTATTTTGTCTTTTGCAATCCAAGCTGTTCAGGAAATGAAAATAGACAACTTGCTTTTGCTCAGGTTTATGGTCTGGTTACAGCTTTAAGCTTACTACAGCGGTTCTCATCTCTTTTCTTTGCACACCTGTAAACCTAGTGCTTAAATTTAAAGCAGGGATTGTTGTTGAAAACGAAAGTGCTCTTATGAAAACCAGTGTAGTATGGCTGCAAGGTCCTGTCTAGAAATGTTTGTCTCCTGAAAAAATAATAAAGATTTTTTTTTTTCTTTTAGTAAACATCTAATGGTGAATTCCTTAACATATTCCAGGATAAAAATACTGCTTAGGGAGCAGCTGACTCAGTAGAAAGCACATTTTCAATATTGCATATAAAGTTTCAAGCAGACAAATAATATACTGTCCTAGTCTGTCCATTTGCTTAATTTGTTTTGCATGTAACCCTAAAAACCTTTTAGCAGTCCAGATGCACTAACCACAGTTCTTATGAAGCCTGCTATGAGCCTGAAGTAGAAAGGACTACAAACATATCTTGGGTCAATTCATAAGTAACTTTCCTTGGCAATGCTCCCAGCTTCTAGCAGCTTGGGAAGTTGAGGCGTAAATTAGTCTCCCACATACCAACAGAGTACTTTGCTAGACCTCCAGGGCAGCACTTCTAAAGAGACCTATATATTTAGCAGACATTTAAAGTGCTTGTAGTTATGGACAAAGTCAAGGTTCCATGTGTGATTGCTATAAGTTGTTAAAATTTCACAGTTTCCATCCTACAACCTTACATGCCTTTTTTTTTTTCCTCTGCAGGAAATAGACTACTCATTTGAATAGAGGTTGTAGTGCTGATCTCTAAACTATCTTCTCATGAATATTGGTTCATGTCCTTTCTATTTCACTTCCTTCCTGATTAGCATTCTTCATATTGCTGAATTTCCGGCAAGTTAATCGGATACTTCTTCCTGGTATTAGCTCCACTTAAAGCATTCAGGTAGCAGAAGAAACTGCATAAAGGAGCTTTGAGATCACAGCTGAAGCAATACATGAATTTCCAGTGGGGTTCTCTTTTGATTGGACTCAAAAGGCTACTGGAGTTGCTCAAAGTAGATACTGAGATATATATTGTAAAAGCCAAAAGAGAGGAAAACTCATTCACAAATATCGCACGTTCAAATGTAGCCTTAACTCTGCATCCTCCACATTGGGCATAACTTGAAAAGCAAGAGTTGTTTTTGGTTTGAAGATACTGACATGCTAAGGGTTAAAACCTGCACCCTGCTGTGGATGAGGAAAGGGCAGTTCCCAATATTCTGGGCACTTAATGCATGATTTTAGCTTTTTAAATGTGAGAGTTTTGCAGCTTACCAAAAAGTTTTTGGTTGAAGGATTTTCATTTCTGTGACTGGCTGCTTGTCTGCTGTTTAAACAGTGACTGTATGAAGGAGGTTGGAAAGTGGGAAGCAGGCCAACAGATTTGACTTGGTGGACAGTAAGCAAGTGACTCAAAGGTGTGCAAGTGCAGCTTATCATAAGACTAACAGAGTGGTGTGATTTTTTTTTTTTTTTTTTTTTTTTTTTTGTTCTCACTTTTTTTTTA